ATCCCGCACTCTCCATTTGATCAGTGATTATGAACCACAGGAGCAGGGACAAAGGTCTTGCTTCTCAAAGAGTCAGAGGTGGCTCTGAAGGGTCCTGTGGATAAAAAGGCTCTTGCCGTGTGGTAGTGTAGGTGATTCCCTGATAAAAGAAACAGCAGCAGTGTTGCAGTGACCTGATAGTAGCAGTGTTGTGGTTGTCTCAAGAGGTGCACTGGATCCAAGGCATAATGTAACAGAGAGGTTACGAAGACCCATCAGCCCCACTGATCATTGCCGCTTCCTTCTAACCCATGTGGGGAGCACATTACATTTCTAAACATAGTCTTCAACATATGGCAAGATATTATGAGTAGAAAACTGAGGGACCCTAGGGCATAAGTTGTTATTTCATTACGCTTCCCTGTTGAAGGTCATAGCATAGGAAGATAGAGGAAAATGCTAGAGTCAAACAGCTGGCTCCACAATTGGGGTGTGTGTTGTTGTGTGCCTTCAAATAGTTTCTGACATGTGGCAACCCTATCATGGGGTTTTCTTGGCATGATTTGTTCAGAAGAGCTTTGCAATTGCTTTCCCTAAGGATGAGAGCATGTAATTTGACCAAGATCACCCAGTGAGTTTCATGGCCAAGCTGGGAATCGAACCTTGGTCTCTAGAGTCGTAGTCCAACACTCAAACCACTATGCCACACTTTTGGAAAAGGTTTGGCTTCCTTGGGCCATGAAGAAGGACTTAGGGCAAGAGAATGGTTGTATCTCACAACAACTGGTATGAATGCATTTGCTGGGTGTCTTACAAAACTGATCAGGAGATCTTTAAACTCAGCCACATGGAGGAGGGAGACAGCATCCCAGAGGGCAAAGTGGCATCAAGTGCTGGAGAAAATAGCTTTAACAATGCATAGGAAATCAGGGTGAGGGTACAAGAAGGAATATGTATCCAGAGCTTTGTATGTTTAGCTTAAAGCAGAGAAGAGTTGATAGGACGATAATCTTTAAATATCTGAAGGGATGCTATGTAGAAACTACAGCAAGTTTGTTTTCTGCTGCTCCACAATCCAGGGCACAACCAGTGGATTCAAATCACAAGAAAAGAGATTCTGTTTTAACATTAAGAAGAATTTCCTGAGGGTCAGAACTGTTTGAAGTGGGACAGAAGAAGATAGTATGTAGAGAGATCTTGCAGCACCTTTGAGACTAACTGAAAGAAAGAAGTTGATAGGATGAGCTTTTTGTAGACTGAAGTCTGCGAAAGCTCATGCTGCCAATCTCTTTCTTTCCCTTAGTCTCAAAGGTGCTGCAAGATCTCTCTACATACTGATTCTACAGACTAACATGGCTATGTTTTTGAATTTTACCACTCAGAAGACAGTAGACTCTCCTTCATTTAGAAGTTTTTAAACAGAGATTGGATGGTTGTCTTCCAGGGTGCTTTAGCTGTGGATTCCCACATAGCAAATTGTTGGACTAGATTGCCCCTTGGGTTTCTTCTAACACTATAATTCTGTGCTTCCAAATATTGTGGGAGTCTAGTGCCCATTATCACTGCTTGCACTCACTGAGGTCTGAAAACGTTTGGAAGGTAGCTGGTTCCTACTCCTGTTTGAAAATATAGCAAGAGCTTTCTCTTCTTTAGCTGTTCAGCAGTACAGAATGTCTTTTCAGAGCTCTCCCCTAAGGAATCATACGCAGTTATATATTTCTGTTTTTCCTGGGCATGAGGGCTAGTTTCAGCTGGCATAAAAATGTATGCAACAGAACCATAATCTTGGTTTGGGTGCTATTTAATAAAAAAGCAGCTTGCAGAAAGGGAAAAGATTTTAACCAGAGACGAGGCAGTGGGATAGGCACTAATCCTTTCCCCTCCCTTTATTTCTCTACTGGAAATCATATCCTGTCTCCCCCCCCCCTTCCCATAGCAATGAAAATGTGGCTAAACAATTGGAATGCCTTGGAGGCGATGGATGGAAGAGATGGGGGATATCCAGTGAAATAATGATAGGGAAAGGGTTAAACTAGCCTTTCCTAGCCTGGTTCAGAACATAGTTTTAGCCTATAACTCCCATCATTTCTGAGCCCTAGCTAACTATGCTGGCAGAGCTGGTGGGAGTTGCAATCCAAAGCATATGGCATATCCAATTTGGGAAAGTCAGAATTAAGGTTTCTCCCTCCCTACAAGTGCATCCTCTTTGACCAGAATGAGCTGTCTTTAAAATAAATGTATTGCACTGCCCCCCATTTCAAGGTATTGTTGTTACGTGCCGTTCAGTCATTTCCAACTTAAGGGATCTCTAAGGTGAACTTATCAAAGGCAAAATTTGTTCAGAGAGGTTTTGTCCATTTCATTTTTTTTCCTGAGGCTGAGAGTGTGTGACTTGCCCAGGGTCATCCATTGGCTTTCTGTGGCTGAGCAGGAGTTTGAACCCCATGCTCTCAGAGTCCTAGTCCAACAATGAAACTACTATACCGTACCAGGTCTCATTAGAAAGGACTTAATTTTTTAAAATTCACATCACTAGGATGCAGGGCTAGTAACAAAACATTAACAATTGTTCTTAACAAATGCCCATTTATATGTGGGGGAAAAGATTGTTGCATCATTGTTTTAGAGGCACTGATCAGTTTTGCAGTGAGCGTGGGTACGTCTCTGTGTTGTTTTCCTTCAAACCGATCCATGGTGACCCTATCATGGGGTTGTTTTTTGGGCAAGTTCCTTCAGAGGAGGTTTGCCATTGCTGAGACTGAGAGTATGTGACTTTCCCAAGGTTACCCAGTAGGTTTTCATTGCCAAGCTGAGATCCGAACCCTGATCTCCAGAGTCATAGTCCGACGCTCAAACCACTATGCCACACCAGTTTTGCATGAGTTCTGCAAAATGGCTTCAACCAGTCTCAAAGAGTGGAAATTCCTTTAAGGTTGGAAAAGAGGGAGCCACCAAGATTTGTTTATGTGCCCTTGCCATGTGAACACTAACCCATGGGTGATGAAGAAGATGCCTTTGGTTTTGTTGCCACCAGCAGTCAGAAGCTCTCTCTGGGCAATGATGGGACAGGGGAAAGCTTTCCCTACCACCTCCTGAATAACCCAGATTCTTCATACTTTTTCGTAAGGTTTCACGCAGGGGGAGTAGTGTTGGCCATTTAGCAAATTCAGACAAAGATCCACCAAACAGTGATACCTTTGTGAAGTTGTAGGTTTTCATGGCCGGCATCCATAGTTTTTTGTGGGTTTTTCAGGCTGTGTGGCCATCTGTGTGGCTTCTCTGAAGATGCCATCCACAGATGCTGTTGAAACGTCAGAAAAAAACTCTTCTAGAACATGGCCACACAGCCCGAAAAACCTACAAAAAAACTATAGTGATACCTTTATGGGCCAACCAAATTTTGCACAGTTGGGTGGATTTTTGTTTGACTTTCCTAAGGTTTGCCCAGTCTAAAGTGTGCAGACACAATTTTTCAAAGACAAAGCAAGAGTAGGCGGAAAGCTAAATGCACATGGACTCATTCTCCCTGTTCCCAGTGCTTTGTAGATAGGAAGGAAAGAGGGGACAGGCCAATGACAATGGGCCAGCGGGAGTTGACTCAAACAGCCAATTCCTGGTGATTTCCTTTCCCTGTCGAGGGGCCAGAGAAAGTGGAGGAGGAAGTTGAGCTCCAGGCGGACTTGAGGCAGGACAATCAACTAGGAACAAAAGGGGCAACTCCCTCCCTGTTCCCAGTCCTGAGATGGCAGCATGAATGCTGCACAACCCACCCAAGAATACAAGTTGCATTGCTGATCTTGCTTTCGCTCCTGTTTTTGGAGCTGGGCTGCAGTGAGAGGCAGGGGGAGATCTCTTGCACAAACAAGCCCTGGCTGCTGTGAAGACATCCGTGTGCACCTGGGGTTCCTGCGGGTATTTTGAGACCATTGGCACTGTATGCAAAGCCAGCGGTCATGGAGAGGGCAGGAGCCATGTTTATGTCTTGGCACAAGGCAGGTAAGGAATACTGCTTGTGGAAGGAAATGTTGACATTGGGGGAACTGTGCTGGTCTATGAGCATAATAAAGATGAACTGAACTGATGTTGGGGGAACAAGTCATTTGTGATAAGGAGTTCTGATGCGCAAGTGTTTTGCTGCCTCAGAGGATGCTGGAAGCTGCAGTAATCAGGGGTATCAAAGGCCACATGATGTGCCAGTCTTGTTCCAGTTGGCATAGCGCATGGCCAGTACTATTTATTGATTGCTTTCACACACTAGAGGATGTTGAGAGGAGCCACATTTACAGCAGTGCTAGGCAAAGTGTTGCCCTCTGGATGTTGCTCGACTTCCAAGTCCCATCATCATCATCATCTAGGGCTGATGGGAGTTGCAATGCAGCAGTGTTTGAAGAGCCACACAGTTCCCAAGCCTGGATTAATGGCAGCCTTCAAAGTCTTGGTCTGGCATATAATTTCAAGAAGGGAGTGCATAAGGAACATAAGAAAATGCAACAAAATCCACAAAACAGTGATACCTTTATTGGGCCACGAAAAAGATGGCAGTATATCAGGTCTGTCCATCTGTACTGTCACTGCCAACTTGGCACCTTCCAGATGTGTGGCAGTATAGTTCCTATCAGCATTTATCTAAAGAGTGCATGGTTGAGAAAGTCTGTTGTACATGGATTGCCATCAGTTCTTTGGAGTTTCAGAAAATAATCTTTTACTAGCCCTACCTGGACATTTGGACCCTTTGTATGGTAGAATAGGGGCTCAACCCCTACAGGCCCTTACTATTGGCAATGCTGGATAGAGATGCTGAGAGCTGTAGCCAAAATAACGTAGATCAAAGGTTCCCCAGGCCAATTTTAATAAGGCAGCATATATGCATATGATTGAAATCAATAGTTCTGAAGCAACACAAAGATATAACATCCTCACTACCACCATTCTTGCTGGATAATGCGCATGTGTGTGGAGCCAGTGTCATCTTAGCAAATGCATTCCCTCTTGAGTAAGAGGAAAAAGGGAATGCCTATTCTAAAAGTTATTTCCATTGGAAGTTTTTATAAGAGCTTGTATTAAAATGTTTCTAATTTATTTATTGTTGAAATTTAATTTATCAGTCAAAAAGCTATCTCATTATTCAGGGCACCTTTGTACTATGCAAAAAAATATCAAACTTGTCTGAGATCTAAAACTCTAAAGTTTTGAGCAAACTTTGCAGATGAGGACTAACTTGATGGATCTGTAGTGTGGAAATGCTTGCTTTTCACTATGTAACAGGCTATAAAATAACCAAGAATAAAGATGCAGGGACTCTCACTGTCTTTTTTGCTTGATACTATAGATCAGAGTATAATGGATAATATAATATACTTCATTGTTCCCAAGAAGAGTTTCAGCATTTTAGGAACCTGTGCATGACCAAAGGCTTGGGATTTTTCTAGTTCTCTGTGTGTACATGTATGTGCACGCACATGGATGTACATGTACAGAGCCCTGGTGGTGCAGTGGTTAAATGCCTGTACTGTAGCCACTCACTTCAAACCACAAGGTTGTGAGTTCAATCCCTGCCAGGGGCTCAGGATTGACTCAGCCTGGCATCCTTCCAAGGTTGCTAAAATGAGTCCCCAGCTTGTTGGGGGCAATTGGCTTACACATTGTAAACCGCTTCGGGAGTGCTTAAGTGCACTGACAAGCATTATAGAAATGTACTTGCTATTGCTATTGCTGTGCATGTGCACTCACCTGCTCTTGTGTGCATTTCAAATATAAGACTGAATGGAGCTCTTCCTTTAAGTGGATATATAATGCAAGTTGGTATTATACTGCAAAATCCACACTGGCTTTCATTCATATAGAAATATCCTGCACAGCTCTTCTTCCTAGGTTGGACATTTAACTATCAACAGTGTGGCATAGTGGTTTGAGTGTTGAACTATGACTCTGGAGACCAGCTTGGCCATGAATCTCACTGGATGACCTTGGGCAAGTCACACATTCTCAACCTCAGAGGAAGACAATGGCAAACCTCCTCTGAACAAATCCTGCCAAGAAAACCCCATGATAGGTTTGCCTTAGGGTCACCATATGTTGGATACGACTTGAAGGAGCGCAACAAGTTCCCCCTTCATGGTGAAACTCCCCAAAGCTGGAGTCTTATGCACATCGTAGCTGGGGTTTCTTCTTTAGGACTAAATATGTTTGGCATAGTGCTGCAAGTCTTCTCCTCTCCATCTTGGCAGATTTCCAGGAATGTTGAACTGTCATTCTGGTTATTCCCAGTCATGCTGGGTTGTAAAAGATTGACCTAAGAACAATTGCTGGTCCGTATGGTGAACTGTGGCCTGTTTTACACCATGAAATAAATTTTTTGTCTCCTTATATTGTGAGATTGCAATGCCCTTTGGTCTAGGTTCCTATCCTCGGAGTGTGGTGGAGTCTCTTTCTTTGGAGGTCTTTAAACAGAGGCTGGATGGCCATCTGTGGGGGATGCTTTGATTGAGAGTTCCTGCATGGCAGGGGGGTTGGACTGGATGGCCCTTGGGGTCTCTTCCAACTTTATGATTCTATGATCCTGCTTGCCTTCTTTTCCATCTCAACTGCTTCCCTGCAGACTGGATTGAGGCTGACCTGAGCTTGCTGCTGTTATTCCAGCTAGACTTCCAAAGTTGCCTTGCAGCATCAATGAGGTCATTTGGCCAGAAACTGAATTGCCTTTGTGTGTCTGATCTCACCTCTCCATCTCTGCCATGGCTCTCTTTCCTCCCTCTCTTGACTTCTAGGCAATTTCCTTGAATTGTGTTTGGGG